CGCGGCGAACATTTTCCGCACAATTTATTATTTTCTCTCTCTCTCTGGACTTCTGTTATCGATGTTCAACTATTGGAGAAGATACAATCAATAAATAGACGTTTTCTTTTCCTCCGAAAGACAAAGAGGTTCTAATCATCGTATCCGTGGAACAGACGATAAGGCAAGGATTTAATCTTGTTTTCAACGCAAGTAATCTTCCTCTAGTTTGGCAAAGAAATGTTCTAATTCTTGATGCACGAAACCAGGTAATAAAGTTCTCATCGTTCTAACTGTGGACTAAATGATAAAGCGAGCGGTTTATCTCGTTTTCAACGTAAGAAATCCTCTGGTCGGCGAACACAATTTTCCTTTATTTAAGTACGCAAAACTAAGTATATTTAAATCTAGACACTCCCTAATTCTAATCACTGTAGCTGCAGAATAAATGATGTGTCAAGATAGCAATGTTGTTTGCAGCATAAAATATTCTATAATCAGGCAAAGAAATTTTTCTCTTATTCTGAATACTATTCCAGAACTAAGTACATATCCCAATCTTAATCACTGTAGCTGTGGCATAAATGATAAAACTAGGAATTAATCTTGTTGCAACGAGAAATGTGTTGGTCAGCGAAATAAATTTTCCTCTTATTTCTGATACTCAAAAATAAGTAGCTAAAACTAGTTACCAGAGTTCTAATCAGCGTAGCTGTGGAATAAATAATGAGGAAAGTAGATAATCCTGTTTTGATCATAAAAAGTCTGTTGGTTAGCAAGATAAGAAATTTTCCTCTTCCTCTAAGTTCCCGGAAGTATGTATGTAGCCACAAGTATTGTAGTAATTTTCCCAGTACGATAGTCGGAGGAGCCGACGACTATCTTTAGAAATAAACTGTCGAAACAAATAAAGCAGCGCGAGAATCAAGTGGCAGTGTCCGCGTCGAGCAAATCGGTTAACGGGTTAATAAGTCAGGGATTATTAATTCCGCGAACGCGGCGGGCTCGTTCGCGGAAAGATCTGGCACTTTCATCGAGCAAATTGAAAGGAAGTTGGCGTGGCGTCGAAGGGCAAGGTCGGGACGAGTATTATTTTTCAAACGGCTGTCTCCCGCGTGCTGGAATCGTGGCGCATCGATCGCCCGCGGTCAACCCCGCGGAATTGAGTTGCATTATAAATAACGCGCAGTCCAATCGTCGCTAACCGATACAATGCACACCCGGCCTCTCCTCTCCCTTCTTTCTCAGCCTACTCTATCTCTTTCTCTCCATCTCTCTCTCCCTCGCTCTCTCTTCCTGCCTCTCTTCCTCTCTTTCTCTCTCTTCTTGTCTCTCTTCCTCACTCTCTAGCTCTCTCTTCCTGTCTCTCTCCCTCTCTCTTTATCTCTCTAGCTCTTTCTTCCTGTCTCTCTCCCTCTCTTTTTCTCTCTCTAGCTCTCTCTTCCTGTCTCTCTCCCTCTCCCTTTCTCTCTCTAGCTCTCTCTTCCTGTCTCTCTCCCTCTCTCTTTCTCTCTCTAGCTCTCTCTTCCTGTCTCTCTCCCTCTCTCTTTCTCTCTCTAGCTCTCTCTTCCTGTCTCTCTCCCTCTCTCTTTCTCTCTCTAGCTCTCTCTTCCTGTCTCTCTCCCTCTCTCTTTCTCTCTCTAGCTCTCTCTTCCTGTCTCTCTCCCTCTCTCTTTCTCTCTCTAGCTCTCTCTTCCTGTCTCTCTCCCTCTCTCTTTCTCTCTCTAGCTCTCTCTTCCTGTCTCTCTCCCTCTCTCTTTCTCTCTCTAGCTCTCTCTTCCTGTCTCTCTCCCTCTCTCTTTCTCTCTCTAGCTCTCTCTTCCTGTCTCTCTCCCTCTCTCTTTCTCTCTCTAGCTCTCTCTTCCTGTCTCTCTCCCTCTCTCTTTCTCTCTCTAGCTCTCTCTTCCTGTCTCTCTCCCTCTCTCTTTCTCTCTCTAGCTCTCTCTTCCTGTCTCTCTCCCTCTCTCTTTCTCTCTCTAGCTCTCTCTTCCTGTCTCTCTCCCTCTCTCTTTCTCTCTCTAGCTCTCTCTTCCTGTCTCTCTCCCTCTCTCTTTCTCTCTCTAGCTCTCTCTTCCTGTCTCTCTCCCTCTCTCTTTCTCTCTCTAGCTCTCTCTTCCTGTCTCTCTCCCTCTCTCTTTCTCTCTCTAGCTCTCTCTTCCTGTCTCTCTCCCTCTCCCTCTCTCTCTTCTTGTCTCTCTAGCTCTCTCTTCCTGTCTCTCTCCTTCTCTCTCTCTCTCTCTCTCTCTCTCTCTTCTTGTCTCTCTTCTTCTCTCTCTAGCTCTCTCTTCCTGTCTCTCTCGCTCTCTCTTCCTCTCTGTTTCTCGCGCTCTCTGCTTCCGCTCGAGACGTCGCGGTCGTCGGCAGAAACGTGGAAAGATATTTCCATTTTCATTCTCGCCCGTCCGCTCCGTCGATTCCACACATATCTCATTGCTCTCGAAAAAGCAGCACACGTCCTGCTATTCATTATTTATTGGTTTAATCCTGTCCCCGTCTTGACACTGATCCCCATCTTCAATGGAACCGACGTATTTAACTCTTCGAGGGTAAATTCGGACATAGAGTGGTCCACATAAACGTTTCCCTATAAATCTCTCCCCCAATAGCGATATTACAAAAAATTGTCTTCCATGGAATTTAACTGGTGTCAAGAGACGAATACGATTCAAAAAGTGACTTATAGAAGTGTGCTCTTATATGCAAATCAACGTCGATGATCTCGAGAACTCCGAAAACAGTGACCTTGAACAAAAACCTCTTGCATCGTATTCGTTCCTCGATGCTGGTCGATTTTTTTGTAAAGAAAATTCGTTGTAACATCGCTATCGAAGGAGATATCCAGATGGAAACGGTTTAGGTGAACAACCCTGTATATTTGATCATCAGCGTAGATAAAGAGCAGAATGTTCATCGCTTAATCTCGTTGTTTTATTAGCACTTCAAAAAATCCTCGTGCTCACAGCACTTCGGAAAATCATTGTCCACAAAGGGTTAATTGTCCATCTTCCCGTTTTGCGTCAATTTGACTTAAGTTCGAAAAATACAAGTGCAAAATACAGCTTCAAATGACGTTCCGCTTATCATTCGATGCACTGCCGGGTCATACTCTTGCCAATTTGGAGGATTCACCTTTAAAACTGCAGAAACTTTCCGAGACATAACAAACTCTCGGATGCCAAAAGAATGCAAAAGGTTCCTTCAAGTTGTCATCGGGAGATCGTTTGAGCCGCCAAAAATTCTTGAATTTCGAGGTCCTATGCTCTCAGCGTCTGAGAGGTCACAGGCTGTATCTCTCGAACCGCTCCCGCTTTCGTCATCGCCGCCGCGATCGCGTAAACGCGATCCCATCGTTGCACGACGATCCTTATTTGTCAATCTTATTGAGCCTCGCAGAAACTTATTCAAGGCGTTGCTATACCGCTCCGGGCGGTTTGTATTTTTCCACGGGTTCCCAGCAATTACATACGGTTGCTCAAGAACTCTCGGGAAATTTCATGGTTCGCGGCGCGTCCTCCGGAACGAATAGGCCCGTTTCCGAATAAAGAGCGAAGGTGCACGTTGGCCGCTTTTGGAAAGCGTTTGAGACAATTAAACCGACCGTAAGTTGCCCGGACAGTTCTCAAGAATAAGACTCAATAAACCGCGGATTATGCAATTGCGATAAAACTGTTCAAGTCGATTACCTAACAGAAGAAACTGATTAAAAATTGAAAAATGTTCCTCCATTTATTGAACGTGCGAGGAGAGCAAATGCATTCGTATTTGATTCCTGCTGCAGAAAGTTCGCATTTTACTACGAAAAATACTACGTACGAAATTCTATTAATTTTTGCAGAGGCCGGCGATACTAACGGATATGAGTAACCGGTAAAACTTGCAACCGCGCCAAAAGAGATAACTAAAAGAGCAGATAGCCGATTCGACGACGCAGTTGTCGAAATTAAAGTGCAAGGCATGAACAACGGCTAGTTCGCTTCCGCGAAAGGATAGGGAGAGAACACTTTCTTTTCCACGTCGGATCGAGCGTTCGCCGGCGTGCCTCGACCTACATGCCAACCGATCGAAGCCGATCCATCGAATTCCGCGGATCGAACGAGCGTCGACGGGGATCCCGAAACGTCCGGAACCGAAAATAGGAGACGTTGTCTTTGGCCGTCGTCGTCGTCACAGCCCGAAACACCCGCGTTTGCCTTTCCACGAACGCCAGCCTCCCGGCCCGCGAGCCAAAACAGAACCGGGAGAACTAAAAACGCGACGCGTCGATCGAAGGAATCGGACCGCGATCGGCTCTTTGAAGTCACCGAGCGCGGCTAGAAATACCGAAGGCGAGCGTTCAACGTAACAGCTCTTTAGAAAACCTAACCACACGGTGTGCTCGATAGCCCGCACCGGTTTACCGCCGTTCCGCACGATTTCCCGGACTTTTACGCTTCGGGAGCCTGGCTGGATCGGATCGCGATCGACGATCCTCCTCGGATCTACCGCAACTTCTGCGAGCTCGTCGTAAGAAGAACGGACGATCTCTGACGATTTTTCTTAGAAGAATTTCTAGGCATTTTGCGATCGTACTTTTCGTGTTCGAAACGGCATACCTTCTCGCTATTGTCCTAATTTCTTCGATGGGAAATATCAATCGCTGATAAAGATATGGTTGTTTCTTACGGGTCCGTTCGATCCACCGTAAGTCCTATGGGACCGTCGTCAGAAGAACGGCTGATCTTGTACGATTTTTCTATAGAAAACTCGTAGACCTTTCGCGATCGTTCTTTTTGCGTTGAGAAGAGTATACTTTCATAAGACTCTCCTAATTTTTTCGTTGAAAAATGTTCATAATCAACCGAGACACGGTTCTTTTACCGGAGGTCCTACCGCTATTCATAGCAAGTTCATTCGACTTAGAAACTCGAACAGTTTCAAACATCAATGATCACTGTACTAGCTATGGTCGAACCGCAAGATGTTAGACGGCTAAGTTATGGTGTGGTTCTACGAATGAATAGTGCAAGATGATTTCCACTTACCCGACGTAGACGCGACAGGTGAAATTATTGACGCGACGATCGCTGGCGAGTCTTCGCCGGTCTTCGAAGTAGTCTTTCAGCGCCGTCACGCCCAGCACGAAGACCACGGGTATCATGGCGACCTCCTTGCCGAAGGCGTTTATGGCTGGCACCCAATTAAGCAGAACGATAAATATAAAATACAGATTGGCCACGCGGTGAAATTGCTCGAGAAGGTTGCGAGGTAGGAAGCTCAGCACAGTGTACTTCGTTGTGCGTACTCTGAAAGCAGACCGACCGATCCAGGACTCAATACAGCATTCAAGTCAGAACTCAGTTCGGGACACGATGCGGGACCCATTTCGGGACTCAATTCAGCATTCAATTGCGATTCGATTCAGAAATGTATTCAAAACTCAATTTAGGATTCGATTGAATACGCAATTCAATATGTAAATCAGGACTCGATTCAGAACTCACTTCATAACCCAATTCAAAACTCAATTGAGGATTCAAATAATGACTCGATTCAGAATTCCATTCAGAACTCAATTGAGGATTCGAATAATGACTCTCTCTCTCTCTCTCTCTCTCTCTCTCTCTCTC